AAGATCCAATGGAAATAGCAGGGGAGGAAGAAATCTTTTGGCAGATCAGCAGTTGCCAGGGTGTCTTTTCATGCTCTGGCAGTCGTTAGGAGTCTTACCCAAGAGCTAGGCCATTAATGAGAAGTCTAATGACTTCCATTCCTTTCCTTAAAGCATTCAGCATGTCACCAGTATTTATGAGGAAGCCTGCTGTAGCTACAGGGACATTATGTGCTTCACTGTATTTCAAGCTGAGAGAGTTTGAAAATGGAGCATAAGTTTATCTATTTTGGGAGGGTTTTTGGTTGTTTCTTTTTTGTTCTTGTTTCAAGTCTCCCTTTCCTTCTGTCCTTTGCAAATAAATGTGCCACATTCCTCACAGCCTGAAGCTAAAGAAATATCTTCAGGCTTGTTGCCAGATCTATTTTCCTCCAAATATCTACCAAATCACCAGAAGCTCTTATTAACTGAGTGAACTGAACCTTCAGACAACAACTGTTCCAGTCCCTCCTGGGGATTTTCTAATCTGCACATAGTAAATAATTCAAAGTTTGAAGTTTGGTACACTTATTCATTTAGTTTGCTTTATTTTTTTCAAAGCTATCAATGGACTTAGCAAACAAAATGGTGGGTTTTAATACTGAGCAATTCTACAATTCTACTGAACAATTAAGGAAAAAAATCCACCTAGGTAGATCTGTTTTCAGTTGTCTTCTTACAGCATACTCCCTTTTCAAATTTCCCAGAGGGAAATTTGTTTTCCTTACCTTCCTGAGACCACAGTGACTTGTTAAGACTCCTGTTTTGCAAATGCATGCTGCCTTACTGAAAATTTCAGAATCACAGAATGGGTCAGGTTGGAAGGTACAACAGAGCATCATCAGATCAGGCAGGGCCATCCCAAAGCACATGGCACAGATTGCGCCCAGACAGTTCTTGAATATCTCCAGTTGGGCAGACTCCACATCTCTCTGGACAATTTGTTCCAGTGCTCAGTCACCTGCACAGTACAGAAGTTCTTCATATCCAGGCGGAACTTCTTGTGCGTCAGTTTCTTCCCTCTGCCTCTTTCCCTGTTGCTTGGCACCACCAAGAAGAGCCTGGTTCCATGCATGCAAGCATAACCTTATAGATTTCTAAGACTTTTACCTTGGTTCTTTAGTGTCTGTTTATCCTACATTATCTTACTTAATACAAGTGAACATTTTAAGACTTTAAATGAAACCCTTCGTTATTATTAGTTAAATTACCCATCTACCTAAAGGATTACTATATGAAAAAGAGAATCCTGGAAGTGAAGTGACAGTCAATAAGACCAAAATGCTTTGAAGTGTAGAAATACCATTGGAACGCCAATTCAGCTCTTAAAAAGCTTAAATTGCTCCCCTGACACATTTATTTTGCTATTATTTCTCGTGGATGCAGAAAGAAGACTCCCTCTTTACCAACCTTCTAAACAGCTTTGAGTGCACTATTGATATTCTTATTCTCCAATCCATCACCAGTTGCCTTCAAGATTAAATAAATTATGTTTCTCATCAAGTTCCATGATCTCTTCTTGTAGTGGTTGTGCAGGCATGATAAATACACAAACTGTCTTTCCCATTTTCGAAACTGGAGAGAAACTCTTTGCCTTGTGTGCAGAGAAATCTCCTTTCAAATCAGAAATTTTTTTCTCCAAGGGATGGAAAAAGTGTTCTTCTCCACTGTCGTGCTATCTCCATTTCGTTAGTGTTTTCCTCTTGAGCTCTCCTTTGGCCTCATAGTCTAAGGGAATTGCACGTCAGTATTCAGAGATAGGTGTCTGACTTCATAAACAATTTTGGCTATGCATTGAATGATAATTACAGGGAGATGAAACATTCACATCACCCGTTTGCACCCTTTTGCCACTGTAGACCCTTGAGATGCCGTTGAGATGATCTAGTGTGAGCACAGAGTGACCTTTTGAGGAATCAAGAAAAAATGGCAGATTTTTTATTGGACACTGTAGAATTTTAACAGATGTACAAAAGTATTTCAGAGCAGAAGTTTTGCTTCTAGTAAATGCTACTTGAAAAACTTATGAAAGCCCGTTATAATCTCACTTTCTTCAGTGTATCTTTATGGCATTTCATTGTGATTAAGTATCATGGGGTGGTAAATGAGCCACAGAACAGCACAGAATGAGGACTTAATATCCTCAGTTCTGTATTTTTTTTTCTATTGCTATGGCTGGAATTGTCCTGCTATTCTCTATCCACTGGTACATTTGTGACATATAACTTCAGCTATAATGCAGCTATATATTCTTTGGATGACAATAAAAAATGGAGTTGGATTTTATATCTTTATTACGTCAATGATCTCCAACATTTTCAAGCATTTTCAAAACTATCTTTTCTTAAATGACTCATAAAATCCCCCATGTAATGTGTACTCCCTGTAACCAGGCTAACAAGACTTAGCTACTGCTCAGGAGTCTTTTAGAGCAGTATTTGTCATAGCTCCTGCTTGATGTGCTCAAGTAGTAACAGCACACAAAAGCAGATTGTATCATTAATCTCAGATTTGATAGAAATAACACAAGGACAGAAGAACCGATTAAAATAAAAAGAAATATTATCACAGCCAAAGATAAGTGTTGATCTAAACATCTCTGAAGGCTAATGCACTAGCAGAAATAATTCAACCCACTAATGTCCACTGCCTGAACAGGCTATCATCAATCAGGACTCTCCCAGGACTTCAAGATAAAACCAAATGGATGGAGTATTTGTGCAGAGCTGTTGTGCTAAGTGAGGAACAATCTCAAATGCCTGTGAGGCGAGGAGTGATACATAACAAATAGAGGCAGATTTATAAAGGATTTGGGGCTAATCTCTGTTGGACTTGGGCCTGCTGAGACACTACATCTTGGGAAAATAATGGACACCATTAAAAATGGCTATTTATTGCACTGTGCTATTTTTGACTTACAGGATTTGCAGTATTCCCTTGAGAAATCTCCTAAATACCATTGAAAATACATCAGTAGTCAATGGGAATTATAATGCCTAATGTGGGAGGTGTATTGTGAAGTTCAATTTAAAGCACAGGTCAGAGAATTTAGACAAGGGAAAACCATAATTGCATACCATCAATGAATCTAAATGGCTCTCTAATTATGATGCAGACTGTTAGGAGTTCAGTGTTATTGCATGAAAGAGACTTATTACTCACAAAAAGCTTTTTAATCTCCTATGTCCCAAGGAAGGGACATGGCAATGCACAAGGCTATTTTTCTAGTCAAAAGTCATGTGAATCTCTGCCTTATAGCTGTGAAAAATTACAGTAATCAGGAAAAAACCCAACAACCCAACAACTTTCATTACAGCTAACATTTCATTTTAAGCCATGTGGACCATAATATGGAATTTTTCTCTGGTGTGATTTTTTGTCACAGGTATCCCTTTTGTTTTGTATGATTATTTTTAATGCTTAACCTTAAAGAATGTCTGGTTGTTACCAATGTGGAGGTGTATATATTTACACAACTCTAACCAGTGTATCAGAAGGTGTTTTTCCCAAACCAGCAAAATGAAGTCTGTAAAGAAAGGCCAAGGCAGTGAGTACTGAGCAAGCTGGGGGAGCAGGCTGCCTTGTCCTACTCTGACCTCCAGAGCTTTCTAAAGGAAGACTTAGATCTTCTGTTATTGGCATAAGCAAGCGAACACATTCTAGCAAGTACATACACTCACTGAAGAGTACAAATGGTACAAATTGAATGGAGGAATGCATGTGAATAAACAAAGTAACATCTATTGCCCGAAGGTGAGCCCTCATAAATCAAACTCACCGGGAAGAAACGGTCAACAGCTCCACTAAGTTTTCCATTAACAAATAGACACTCAGTTGCCTTATGAGGATTTATTTTTTAACTTGTAGAAAGGCAGCAAGTGAGGATAAATGTCCTGCCTCAGAGCTAGTTCATCAGTAAGCAGCAAATGTGTTGGAAAGCCATTCCGGTCCATTGGTAGATAGTAAATGTTTTTAAAAGCCGCTGCTGCCCAAAACTATCTTTTAGCAAATAAAGCCATCGAGAACCTCATTGTATTAGGAAAAAAAAAAACCAAAAAAACAAAAAAAACAGTGGAAAGGTGAGATGAGATTTCTGCCGGAGCTGAGAAGTAAGTGAGCAAAGCAGTCAGTGACAGTTTACCACCTTTTCATAATACCCAAGCTTGTCATATCTGAGACCATCACAGCACAAGACTCAGGCACATTTCCCAGCCTTACCATTTTTCACGTTCATCTCTCTTACCCTTGGACTTCATGGTGAAACACTGCAGATATTCTGATATGTGAATCCTCACAGGTGGATAAGACAGGGCTGAGAAATCTCCTTGTAACATACAAACATTGACCCCAACTAAATACTTTCTCCCATGATTTTACCTACAGACAGAGTGTCGTGTACAGCCTTTGTATTAGGCAAAGCATTTGTGGGCTACGGCTGACCAGTTCTTGTACAAAAGCTGTTTTTGACACTGGGATTGTCATAAAATGGTATTCTCTGTTTACAAATTTAAACCACTTTTTACATCAAATAGAATAGGGATCGAGGGGAGAAGTATCTGCATCTTAGAATGTGAGTAATATCTCCACCTAATTTACTGAAACAATCATTTTCCAGAAAAAATATTACACTTAATAATATATTTCTAATCTGAGCTCATAGAAAGGGTTTAGAAAGGACTTATAATATGCTTAGTACATTTTCTGTAATCTGACAGTATGATCATTACAGTGACTTTGAGAAATAGATGCAAAGACTAATCTTTGCATAATTAAACTAATCAGGGCAAGTTTCACTGTGAGAGAAGATTGTTGATGAAGCATTTTACCTGGTTTGTGAGAAAAGGAAATTCTTAATATTCCCCTCACCCCCACTTTTTCAATTTTCTTTCCTCTAATTTGATTTCACAGTATTTACATAACAGTTGTAATGGGATTTTTTCCCTAACTACCCTATAAAAATGCTTTCCATCCTCCCCACCATAAAAAATACTTTTCAACTATTTAAAGAGATTTAAACAATTATCAAGTAACGTGAAAATCTGTTTGTCTAACGAACATTCTTGAAGTTACTTGCAGAACTTCATATACAGCTGTAGCTACTGTGCTTTTAATGCCTCAATTTTCCCAGTGCACCTTGAATAGAAGTTCACTGCTTGCAAAAAAACAGAAAAAAATTCCTTACTGGCCACAAACCTCAATATATTACACATGTTCTGTGGTGTATGCGGCATCTCATATCACCTTCTGTTTCCTTTGTTGTTGAAGCTGAAGTTACCTGATTTGTTCTCTCATTTTCTGTGCTGAAGGGCAGATACATTAACGTCTCTCAAAGGAAATAACATGGGGGCAATGAACTTCACCTCCATTACAAGTTCAGCCTTGGCTTGTGCTGAGGATGACTGGCAGGTTCAGGGCTCTGCAGCCCTGGGCAGCGCTGGTCTCCCACAGCAGGGCTTGGCATCGCTCTCCTCTGATCTGGGACACTGGCTCACAGGCTGTCTACAGTGTTTGAAGGACAGGACATAGGAAAAAACCAAAAATCACCAGTCCTGTCAGCTGTTTGGGGTCTTTTTCAAGAAAATAAAATAAGAAAGTACATTGAATTCTCAGCTTTAGCTTGGTTGTGCCTTCCCCCTGCCCTGGCTGGTAGTGGGGCACAGGCTCTCAGTGCATAAACACCTCTTGAATGCCTTGGTCAGAATTACCATCCACCCACAAGTTCTTCCTACAGAGGACAATACAAAGATATCAAATGGAGAGAAATACCTTTAGTGGTAAATGGAAAAACAAAAGGAATGCTAATTTCTCATCCAAACTAGCAAGTCCAAGCTGAGCAGATGCAGAAAATCTGTATCCACAGAAGGTCTTCATCATGACTGATTTTTAGCAGAGATCACCTCTCATAATAAACTTACAAATATTGACAAAAGTTGTCTTAAAAAGGGGCAATGTCAACTCACAGGACATAATAGAAGTTCACATGTTATTGAATCAGGCCATTATTTCACTTGGAATCCAGAACACCCTGCTCCTCTGTCAGTGTCTCATAGTAATTACTCCTTCTGATAATTGCTCCTTACAGATTAATCCAAGATAACTTAATATCACTGATGTCATCCTTTCCATTATCTTATAACTTGAAGAAGTTTTTATCTAAAGAATAAATCAATGTGAACTGAAAAATGTTTGTAAAAATATATATGATTGCAATGCAGCAAATCACTGGTTTTACCATGCTGCCTGCTCATTAAGAAAATTAATTATAACATGCACTACTATGTATATACTTTGGTAATGGCATGGAGAGAAATTAAATAAATTCAAGTTATTAGCTTCTTTCTATTAAAGCTTAGTCATATTGATGATACCCTAGATGCATGATGTTGTACACTTTCCAAAACTCAAAAGATTTGTTTAATATACTGAAATTTAATATTAGTTATTATTGATTTAAATTAGCATTTATTTGCTTCTTTTCTTAAGCTTCAGGATGTTCTCACTCTAAAGATATCTTCTGAGTGTATTAATATTCCTGTTTTGAAAGGGAAGATTGTTTTATAAAACTTGAATACAACAGTATTGTGGGTTTTAAGGAGGTATTCCTAGCAGTCAAAGTAATAATCAAAGTAAGGCAGGAGAGCTGTCCACTTAATGATGCAAATACTATTAGAGAGAAGATCAATACCAACCCAGGGTGCTACTGAAAATGCATTCTCAGTTTCCTCTTACAGTTTTCTATTTTGCCCTATGATTTCAAGACAGCTCATTGCTCTGTATGAATGTACTGCTGAGCATTTACAGAAGAGGAAAATTGTCAGGTGTTTCCAGCATTATGGAAATTTCTAACCTACAGGTTTCAGCTGGCTGTATTTTCTCTTGGACTAGTCACAGCAATAAAGACCACAGGAAAAAATGAGCACCATTGTTCATTGCAAATGCTGATTTTTTCTGAGAACTCGTACTTTTTGATGGAAATTCCTAGCCATTACTATGGGTATTTTTCTGCAGCAATAATGTTGGCATCAATGACCTGAACATCACAACCAATTCCTGATTAACTCCAGATACCAAGATAAGTAGACAATCTCTTATTTAATATGTTGAAATGTAAAACAGTTTCAGGAATAAAATAATCTTTTGAATACTTTGTGCACAGAGGGGAACTAAAAGTATAGTGTGAGAGAAGATTTCAAGGTAACTGAACCCAAAGGTTTGACAGTGCTCTTTGCGTCTTTGACAGGGCTCAGAACAGCAGAACACACTGCTAGTGCTGGAAGCTCACATTTTTACCCCTTTGCCCTTTCATCTTTTCAAAATTGTTCATGTCTATAATGCAGTGAAAGGAAAAGAAAAAAAAAGGCAACCTTTTTCTTCTTGTAAGACACAGGTTGATTGCTGTCTCTTTTTGAGAAGTAGTATTTGCAGAAATGAGGTCACTGTCTGAAATCACTCCCCCATCTGCTCGGTTTAGCCTGTGAGTCATACGGAGTAAGAAAAAAGATTATCTGAGCCAGAGTTACATGAAACTGAAAACAATAGAACAGCACATCAACAAAAGGAATGACTACCCCACAGTTTTCTCTGCTCCTCTCTATTTGCTTACTAGCTTGGATGCATTAATTAAGAAAATCAATTGAAAACAAGGCAGTGAGAAAAAAATTAGTGCCTAATTGTGATTAAAGCAAGCAAAGTGATCACAGAAGAAGCCCAACAGTCAGGATGTAAAGCGAGTATTTTCAACAAGAAATGCTATAAATTTCATTGAGGATGAAATAATGCCATTATGTCTTGTAAGTGCAGCCGACTGGTGTGCCTTCTGGTCCCAAGAAATAAATCCCCAAGAAGTCACAGGCTCTGTGTACCTAGTGAGTGGGGGCACAGACACAAGAGCAAAACAGTAACATAACAGGTTAGAGAAGGTATCAGCATTCTGGAGACACCTTGCACTCAAATATTTTTCTCCTGCAAAGTTTGAGAAAACAGGAAGTTTATTTTATACTTTTCTTCCCTGTTAATATTATATACAGATTTAATAAAATTCTCAGATAAAGAGAAAGGGTGTCTTCCAAAATAGATAGTAATAAGATTCTTTGAAGTCAACATTTATTTTCCCTTCAAATTTCTGGGTTCATCTATAGAACTAGGTCAAAATGTTCCACAACTAATTCGTGACCTAAAAATGCCACTTCATATGTTTTGAAATTATCTGCAAAATTGGGTTTTAAAAATACATAATAACGTATGAATGAAATGAAAACTGAATAATAAAGTAGAAGTAGATCAAGGCTTAGATGCATCTTTTGACCAAAGAGCTACAGATTTTGCTTTTTTTCTTGAAAAAGATAGTATTTAATGTTGCACATTTGCTCTATGACATTGAGTCAACATGAAAAAAAGACCAACCTGAGATGTGCTTTTCTGCCTGATTCTGTGGGTGGCTTGCATAGTGTTTATGTGTGTCTTAGGGAAGAGAGGAGAAACAGCTGCTCACATGCTTTCTGCAGTGAAGAAGTGGGAGCTGGCATCACTTTCACCCCTACCTGAGCAGGTTCACCTGCACCCCTGGGGCTGACATCAGGCCAAGCTCACACAAAAGCTTTTCCACAAGAGGAAGCTGCTGCCCTGCTGCTGCTGCTACCTGGGCTCGGAGCCCCAGCCCAAACCCCAGCCCTGACAATCAAATCTCCCTTGAAAAGGGATGGGTCAAAATCTGGCATTTCCCCATTTGGAGGAATGCCTGAATGCTGACCCCCCACCTCCATAAAACTGAAGTTTCAATGTATGTTTTTCTGCCCACACATACAATATCTTCATCTTGGCAGATGAACCCACAGGCTTAATCAACAGCCTTTTGCTTTCAGTCTCAAATGTACTGAAATATTTATTTGGTGCACTTTTTCAGGGATGCTACTCCAGTTGGAGAAGCCACTGTTGGCACAGGAGAAGATATTGCCATAAACCCCATGAAATTTCAAAGTTCATCAAAGGGCAGCTTAAGCAGGAGGATTGTTTATTCAGCTCTTTGAAATGGAAAGAGAGGGAGAAACTCATGCAATGATTTAACAAGATGAGATATGCAATGTTCATAAAAAATAAAAATTTTGATGAAAAATATAATTAATTTTAATTGCAAACTGGTCAATATACTAAATAAAACATAGGTGAGGTTTTGTAGCTTGATTAATATCTTGTAGGAGGGATAGAGAATTAATATTTTCATACATTTAACAAATTATAATTTATTAAGGCATTTACTAAATGTTTAAAAAGAGTTGGCAAAGCCCATTATCGGTAAACAAACCTATAAGCTCCCTAGAAGTAAAATGAGGATCAAAATCAAGCCCTTATTGATGCTCAAAAACATAAAAATAAAAATGTCAGTTCAGATAAATTTTTTGACATCTGTTGTTTGCTTGTATTTTTAATTCAAATGAGTGTTTCAAAACCAGCTCTCACCTAGGGCTGCATACTCTAATCCCTTGCTCTTCTGTCAATAAATTAAGCCTGCAACGACCAATATGTAAACTAATAGCTGAACTAAGGGATTTTAAGTCTTAATTATGCAAGTTCAGCTTACATTTCTAGGATCTGAGTCTGCATTTTGAGCTGGTATGAATCTTGTTCTTATCTAAATAAAAATTTCTCCCAAGTACTAAAAAAGAAGTTTAGAGGATTTTTATTACTCCCTTTAACCTTAAAGCAGCAAATTCTCTTTTTGCTCAACTTTGCTAGCTCACAGTATTTCACTATTACCAATCCAAGAGTTAAAATACAGACAATTTGTAAGCATAAAGAGCCAATGCATTTACAGTAAAATTCATTTGGTGGCTGCACTGATCTGCTGAATATTAAAATTTGTTAAATCTTTTACTTTGCCTTAACTGCCATGATAATGTCCCTGCAGGTAAAACAAAGTCAGTTCCCTTCGTTCTCTCTCACCTCACCCCAAGGCCTGCTCTCATAAGGCATATCAAAACCCCCTAAACCAATAAGGCTGATTGAGCCACCACATTTCCCAAACACTTCAAAAGCAGAACAATAGTCGCTGACACAGCCAGCTGGAGAGTCAGCCCTGAAGGATTTACACCTCTGGTTATAAAATGCTGGAGGAAAACACAGAACTAGAAACTTCTACCAGCCAAGACAGTCTTTGTATGTTTCTGATAAAGATGCTATAGCTCTGTTTGCAATCCCAAAATGCTAGTAACACTCACCCCTCTGCAAAATTCTGCTGGCTCATGCCCATCCCCATAAATACTGGAACCCTTAGTGCATTAGTGACCCCTAGTTTGAGAACTGCTGCCTAGGTATTTCCCTCCCCTGTGCTATATTTGTATCCAGTCAATGAATCCGAAATCCCCCACTAATTACCATCTAAGCTGTTATAAAGAACCTACACGTGTTACTGCATGGAAGAGGATTACTGTACTTTAAACTTAGCAAGGCTTGGTAATCCTGCATAGTGCAGCGCTGGGCTCCATGGGCGATGCGGGTTTAGGGACAGAGCTTCGGGCAGCGCTCCCTTAGCAGAGTATTCAGCTGGCACCACTGCTCTGCTGCTCCTGCAATGCTCATGATTGCTGTGCCACTCAGTGAGGAACACATAAAAAAAACCCCAAAAAAACTACATGTGGCAAGTATATCATAATTCATTTATGTGTTTTAACAATTCTTTAACAATTCTGGAATGTCCTTTCAAGATGATGATGGCAGATTTCCTTGATGGTACTTATGGCCTTTTAAAATTTATTTTAGAATTAATGGTTTCTGCTTAAAACAACCATGGAGGGATAAAAAGTAGGCAGAGCTCCTACCCCAAGAGGTCAGATAGTCATCTTAAGCCTACGCTTATCTCCAAATCCAAGCTGAAATTCCTGTTGGATGAAAAAGTTAGTAGTTGAGGGCAGCATGAGAAATAGAGCAAGTGCTCCATTGCATTGAAATATGTTTTAAAATTTGAACAAATAATTTTAAAACAAGAAAATAAGAATGTTCTGGTTTTATCTACAGATGGGGGTGGGGGGAGAAAGATCACTTTTTTTGCACACCAGCAAAATTTTATACAGCTCCATTAAGCAGCACTGAAAATCATTTGCTCCTTAAGACTTATGTAATATCTTCTTCCAAAGCTTTCGTCCTTTTCTTCCAGAGAAAAGAAGGAATCATCCAGTAGAGAAGACATTCTCTCAAGAGACTCCAAGAAGCTCATTTTAAGGAAGGCAGCGCTTACAAGTCAAGGAAATATCTATTATACAGGCAAGAGGCATTAGAAGATAGGCTGGGAGACAATAAAACTACCAAAATGTATATTTAAAAATAATTTTCTAGGGGTTCATCTTAAAAAGACACAGAGTGTAAGGCTTGCAAAAAAAAAAAAAAAAAAAAAAAGCAGTGAAAATAAATTGCTGACTTACAAATTTTAGAAGACTGACTCCCCAAAACTCCTGGATTTTTCAAGTTTTCAATGACAAAGAATGTTGAAAAATGGCTGATTTAGACACCACCATCAAATCACTTTGTGGTGAATGAAGAAGAAAATATTTCCATTATCAATAGCAGAAATAATCATGTCCACCACAGGGCATGGTCCATTGCTCATAAATTAGATTAATGAGCTAGAGGAGTTTTGTAAATATTTTACTGATGATAGACTCTTTCCCAGTTACAAGTTTCTGGTCAATTTCGGAAAAAAAAAGAAATCTCCTAAACAAATAATTTGCTGTATGTATTTTCATCCATGATAAGTTTGTCATAAGATGTGGAAACACACCATGTCACCAAGGAAGGATTTGCTTATGTGGTTAAGAAATCAATGTAAAGTACAAATATATTAAACCCCCCCCCCCAAAACTAAATCCCAAACAACATTTTCACAATGCATCTTAATTAAAAAAAAAAAAAATAGAAAATCCATGCTAAGTATTTCATAGGTGTCTGCCCCTGGATTGAAAACACTTCTGAAGATGTCACTATGTCTGCAAAGGTCCAAATTCTGCACAGTATTTTTTCATTGAACCCAGCTAAACTCTTTGTCCTGGTACTTTCTGACCTTGGAGTCCGTGTTTAAACACCTCTTCAATAATTTTTTAACCCAAAGTTAAGGTAATTTCCCTTGTGTCCTCATTCAGTTATTCTCAAGTCACTGAAATGTAGGAAACAGTGTCACAAAAAACATGTCCTCTATAAAATTTTTAACCTTCATGTCTCTATCCATGAAGTCAGCAGAGCAGCAAACTTCAGAAATATGAATCTACGGTAAACTGCAGAGATGTGTAGGTAGCATTGAATTAAAACACCATGGACCTCCCCAAAAGCACCCATCGTGTCCCAGCAGAGCAAATGCAGAAGACCAGAGGGGGTTTTTTTTGTCTTTCTCCCTGTGGTCACTTAATCTAAATTTTTTTTTGGTGTATTCGTCAAAGGTTTTTTATTAGGATAAAATGTATAAACTTTCTACAGCTTCTATTATTTC